CCAAGCCACGAGACCACAAATCCTGTGCAAGGTCTAATAACCCCTAGACCAGAGTGATGTTTGATGCATGATAAGAGTAGCATATTGGCAAAAATTGAATGACCCCCGAGAAATCCATTAAGAGAATTAGTCAGATCAGCAGCTAGTGGTGGTATAAAAATGTGATTGCTCTTGGTAGGGCAAGCATGAACAGTCTGTGCCATGCAGGCAATGAAGAAACAATATGCTTCCACGATATTATCTAATGAACAATGGTAAGGCTAGCTGGCAACTGTACTCAGGCAGATCCATTGAATTCGATGCGAATACTAACTCGCGTAACATATGCTACACCACATATCTTGTCATCAGCTAGCTAAATCATCCAACCATGTAGCAGTTTAGTATACAGCACTTCCTCCATAATTTCTTCAGTTTTAACTCCAACTCAACATGCAAAATATAATTATCAGGCTACAAAGTAATCTTGAACAGCAAACATAAAAATTTGCAGCTAAAATTCCAAAGAAAAGCTGATCTGAAGTTCATTTCCTCTCTCGGCCAAAGCTGGGAATTCCAGCAAGAAACCTGCCATAAAACTCAAATTTTTACTATAGAAATTCACATGCATCACCCCAGAAACATTATGCAGAGCATAATGCATGAGTTCTAGTCACAATCTAGCAAAACTTTTAGAGAAATAACCAAAATTGCAGCTTTTCCATCCCAATCTGCTGTCTTGAAATTCCAGCTTCAGTGTTGCTTTCAAAGTTCATTTTTTTCTTGCTTTTAGCACTTCAAACATTACATGCATAATCAGATTAAGGTCACCGATGGTGCACCAAACAAGTCCTAACCAGTTTCAACAAAACTTTTGGCCAGAACCGAAATTCTTTCCAACTTTACCCCATCGGCAATCATCCTTCATTGTATCAAGAATTCCAGCCAGCAGTTCATCATAATTTCATCTTAACAGGTTTTATTTGAAGATATAATCTGTATGTATGTCAAGATATATGGCTAGAGAGTGTATATAAGATACGCAACATAAGAAACAACCAGAAAATTACAGCTTAGCTCATCAAATATCGGATAACAATTTCAAACGAACATTTCCAGCTTTGTTGATCTTTGCTTTCTAGAAAGTTTCTTTCTTTACTTGGTTCTAACTCAGCCTAAGAGACTACTAGAAAAACGCAAAAGAAATGGAAAGAAAGGCTATAGTTTACCTCTGGCCTTAAGTGTTAGGAATTGCAAACGTAATCAGTTTCTCTTCCCAACTTTTGTGCCCTCGAGTGTTAGCTCCAGCCTCCCTTACTTTCCTTACCATATTTTCTTCTTGTCCCTGGGTTAATTCGTGAAGAAACCAACCAAGCTCCCACTCTCTTCCTCAGTTTCGCTCTCTTTTCTCACTCTCTCTGTTTTCTCTCGATGCTAGCTTGGCAAGGAGAGGTGCTACAGATTTTGTCTTGCTCTCTGCCACCGCCCAAGTTTTGTAGTTGGTTTCTCTTTTTCCTTCAGTCGGTCACCGCTTGGATTTGGCTAACCATTGGCAGCTACTTTCTCCTCTTATATTCACTTAGCTCTCTGCTTAGAAGACTTAAGGATCAAAAGGAAAACAATTCATTCGGTGGTCAATGTTCCAGTCGGTGCTACCAACTAAGCAGCTCACTCAGGCTACCGCTCAAATTTCTTGAAGATTATTTTACTTCCATTCGGTTCCAAATTCTCCAACTGTTTTTTCCTCCCTCGGCTCCTATTGTAAAAATTGCTGATAGTTTATTTTGTTTGACTGCATGGTTACTTACTTAGGTTCCAAGATTGGTTTGGTCTTTTAATTTTAGTTCATTTATTTGCCATGAGTCCGAAATTTTATTGTCTCACACATTGGCTCAAAATTTCGTTTGTTCTAATTTGTATGTACCTTGAAAATTTTTGCTTATTTTGATCTAGTAAATTTTCACACATATGACTTTAAGGAAAATTGATTAGTCATGTAACTTATTCAACTATATGATATATTCAAATGGCTCAAATTACAATATGTATATCATATGTTTATTTGATTCATATAATTTTTTTTTAACCATTCTAGGATATTTCTATATTCTCAATTTTTATATAAATTCAAGTAGGCATTTAATTTAACCATTTATTCGTTATATATAATATTTCTAATATCAAAGTAACTAAAATAAAAGAAATTCATAGCATGCATATAATTTTTCTCGAGTTCTCACATTATGCCTCTTTCTTTTGTCTCGTGAATCGTGCGAACACTCAAATCTGTCATATTTAACGATTAAATCTAACAGAATAGCTTGATATCTAGACTTTAAATAGTTCAGTAGTTAAAGCCAGACTTGTAATAGTTCAATGACCAAAACTCAACGATTCTAAAAGTTTGGTAATTATCCGGATAATTTGCTCATATAGATATCTAAAATTCAATAGAAAGTGTAGAAGGTCATTTGCCATTACTTCTTAGAATGTGTTGCTACTAAACACTGAGACTAGTGTTGTCAAAAAAAGAAAAAGTAGGTGTACATTTTAACCTTAGAAAAATGGACAATATCAAAGTTTAAGTTTCCATTATGCCAAACTAGTATTACATCAAATGTTGTCATTAGATTCTCTATTGTGAATCGTGTCCATCCCTGTCCAAATTTGCCTTTGTAAACTTCAACTTTCCATCTTTTTTCGACCGTATAATTGTTAATAACAGTTACCTGCTACTGCATTTACTAATTATTTGCAGAAACCAAAGTAGATCCTCAGCTCAGATGGCTCTGAAAGTTTTTGGGAAAGATGAAGGCACAGAAAGTTTTGAAAACTTGAATTATTTTCAGGCACCCACTAGGCGGAAGTTTCTCTACCTAGAGAGAGAAAAAACTCTCGGCTCAAATTTCCTTTTACTTGAAGACCAATTCCAATGCCCTCAGGATGGATTCCGTAGTGTTCTAAAAGGTTGGTGAACGTATTTTTTCATGCTCCTTCGTGTTTAGTATTCACTTGTTTCCCTACTCATTTTAGCTCTTGCTCTCATTGTACAACCGCCTCCACTAAAGAGGTAATTATTAATCCATCATTAATTAAACAACCTCTCCCATTGCCGTCTCTTCCTAAACGTTTTCCTTTCCCATCTTGCTCTCAATTGCCCCACTGTGTCAGCTCTTGATCCATCATTTTTTCCATGAAATCTACTGCAAAAATCCCTCTTTAGACTCCTTACTTGTTTTCACTTTGCTGTTCGACAAAATCTATTACAGTTCCTCTCATCAATCTCTCTATCACACAAAAAGAAGCTCTAGCCATTACATGTAAGGGTTGGTTTAGCTCGATTTTGAATTTCAATTTTTTTTAATAATTTTCGTCGCTTGTTTTGGCCCCTGTTTTGATGTTATTTATTCAAAATTTTGTAAATTTTCTCATTTTGTGTCTCAACAAGAGTATAATTGATCAGGAACATTCATGTTATTTTGTTAAATAGTACATATGCATACACAACGTTGCTTTGATGTGAGATTATTTCGTGTTTTAAATCCATTCATGGGCATAACTATAATTTCATTCAACTAGGATGACAAGCAAATTAATCGTGAATAATGCAATTTGTGTGATTTTTTTGTACGATATCCATGATATTTCAACGAAAATTTTGTCAAATTTTTGAATTTTAAGTCTTCTGTTTTAATAATATTAAAATTAACTTTTATTGGAATATTATCCAAAACAAGTAGCAAAAGAATAGTACTATATTCAGTATTCAAATTGAAGTTGAGGATAGAGGAGATTAATGTCTATAAGTAATACTCTAGAGTATTGTTGAGCGAAGAAACAATGGCCCAGTTTGGCAAATGAGTTTTTTGAGTGTTTATTTAAAACTTTATTGTAACTTGCTGTAAAAATTATAGAAAAAATTTTTAAGATGTAAAACCTTTTTTTCTTTTCTTTTTCTTTTTCCTTCTCCTTTTCTTTTCTTTCTTTCTTTTTCAAATTTTTTATTGTAATTTTCTGTACGATCCTACAATCCGGATCGCGATTTTGACAACGTTGGTTTGTCCCATTTAAGTCCAATCAATGATTATGTTGGCAAAATCAATGAGATAAAAGACAGTGAAAATTAATGACAACATACTGCTTTGTTCCAACTACGATTCATTAGCTTTTTTTACCATTTGGAGCACATTATCTTTCATTTATAGAGTCTTAATTATTAATTTGTTAGCAAATCTGATGAGATAAAAGATGGTGCAAACTAAAAATTGTCTGGACAACTTTGATTTCAAATAAAAAAATTTACTTCACAAATTTCAACCACCTTTTTATCTTCTCAATCACATTTTTATCTCACATACATCATATCACAAAAAGTGCTACAGTAATTATCTCAAATAAATCATCCAAATAAACTCTTATCCAAATAATGTATTGTTTTATTTTTACTGTGATACCTTGGCACCTTTTGATTACTCTAGGCATATTTCATTAATTTATTGGATCCTTTATACCATTAATTTTGTAAAAATCATTATTGACTGGATTTAAGTATGACAAACGTAAGAGCTTGGAGCATAGAGCGTTCAAAATTAAGAATTTAGAATACTCTTTTTTTTTTTTTCGACACAGGGGTGTCCGGGTCAATTCTTACGGGGCCCGACTAATCCCCTGCGGCCTGGACCCGGCGCCCCAACCCGGCCCGAACACGTTAAGAATTTAGAATACAAAATGTCTAAAATTAAAATTTAGAATGCAACGTGTGAAACGGTACAAATTCGGAGGTGCAAAATGAAGTTTGCCCTTCCTTAAAGAGATGAGTCGTGAGTGGGCACAAATATTTTAACATGGAGCACCATCGGACCGGGTAGAATTGCCAAGTAATTCATCAATTCATCTTCTTCCTTTCATTCATGAAGCTAAACAGAGAGACTAGAATTTGAGGGCCAAAAGAATTGTTTTAAAAAAATCCTTAAAAGAATCGAAGGCTACCATGCTCAGTGAATACTCAAAAGATGGAGGTGAAAAGGAGAAGAGGAGCTTGAGGAATCAGAAATGCTGGAAGTGGAAGGGCTGGGATTGTATAAGGGGAAAGTGAGAATTGTGCGTAGTGAAGAGGCGGCCGAAGAAATCATGCTTTTGTGGGGAATCCAACAGCCCATTCTCTCAAAGCACAATGTCTTTGTTCATCAATCTTCTCCCCAACTCCACATAGATGCTTGCGGTCGCTCTCTCTCCATTCTCCAATCCCCTTCTTCCTTGGTAGCTTCTCTCTCTCTATCTGTCCTCTCTTCCAATTTGAATAGGCTTTATATTGACAGTATTGTTGAGTGATTTTTAGTTTTTGATTTGATCTAACATGCTGAAAACTGTAGGCGAGTTTGTAGATGTAGATTTGGCGGAAAATAGTCAATGCCCAGTTGACTAGGCTTGGAAAGAAATTATTTCAATGCATCTATTGGTAGACCTTTTTTTTTTTCAAATTGGGGGAGAAAAAGAGAGAGGATATTTTACTGTTACTTGTGAAAGAAAAGGCGTTGAATGTCTGATTCAGTTTATTTGTGCTTCAGTTGACAGTTGATGGATGATCCACTTGAGTCGATAATAGTCTTAGATGTGGCTTTTATTAATTCTGCTTGAAGTTTATTTCATGGATGAATTCTTACTTAGTTGGCACCAAGAGTAAGTGTTAACAGCATTTTGGACCATGAGTAGGTAACCAATTTTCTGTAGTAATCTAGGAGTGTTACCTCCTTGTTTACAAGATATGGTGACTTTAAAGGGGAAAGTGGATAATTTTTGTGAGATTGATGAAAGACAAACTACTGCTATTTCTATTTTACAAGTAAAATTTGATACACTTGTTTCTTCTGTGAGTCTAGATATGTAAGCTTCAAGCTTGTCCTTCGATGAGAATTTCAAGTATTTCGGATTCTGTATGCAGCCATCTCTGAGATGATCAGGATATAGTGAAACAGATATAGTTTGGAAAGCTTTTTAGCTTGTAATAGCTCCTTTTCTTCTGGACTTGGAAATGCTTGTGCTTCCATTTGAGGCTTCAACATTGATAGACAAGCTTCGACAATGTTTACTTTGTTATTTCCATCTAATATCTTCTTGTACGATTATAATTCTTTAAAATTGTTATACCCTTTTTCAAACCAATAACAAGAGTATGCAATAGGGTACTCCTGGTGTAACTGGGGCAGTGATGTGGGACAGTGGAGTTGTTCTTGGAAAGTTCTTAGAGCATGCTGTGGAATGCAGAAAAGTTCTTCTTCAGGAAAAAAAAGTTGTTGAGTTGGGTTCTGGCTGTGGATTGGTTGGGTAATATTACTTATCATCTCTAGCCTTGTGGCTGATTATTTGTTTATTTTATAAGAGAGAAAGAGAATTAGCAGTAAACATTGTTGGATATGAGTTGATTTTATCTAGGATTTATCTGTGTGAATATAATTGAATAAATATGAGTTGTTAGAAAGGTTAAAAGGTTTTCTTTCATTTGACACGCATATGATGCTATTTTTCTTGAACTTCCTTTTTCTCATGTCTTCTTCAGTTGCATTACAGCTCTTTTGGGTGCTGATGTTGTTCTCACCGACCTGCCAGATAGACTTAGGCTGTTAAAGAAGAATGTTGTAGCCAATCTATATGGTGATGTACGAGGGTCTGCCATAGTAAAAGAGCTCACATGGGGAGATGATCTGGACCAAGATTTGCATTATCCCCTTCCTGATTATGGTACTTGCCTCTTAAGATGCTTTGCTTTACCTTAGGTTACTCATCTACTCAAACTTAAATTGCACACAAATTACCTCTGCATGTGCCTTTCGTAGTCCATATTGTTGTTTTATTTTTTGGTAAAAATTGGTATACTTTCATAATGTTATCTTTTGCATTCATCAATACGCCATTATTTCAACATCTGCTTTTTTCTCCCTTCTCTGGAGGATGCCAGGGTTCGGAAGAGTAATACTATGCTAGCAATAGTATTACTGTAATACTATTTCCTAGTCAAACACACAGGTGATTGCATTCAGCATAAACTAATCCTTGCAGGTCAATAGGAAAACTATGTATTTGTTGAGAATCATTAGGTGGATGTATGGAGCAAAAGATATGGTTCTACTCCTTGCTGGTCCATAGTACAACTATTTGTTTCTTAGGTTTTTATGTGTATCCATATGGCATATATTTCTATCTTATGGATCAATGGGCAGGAAAGTAGAAAAGTTTTCAATGGCTGTTATAACTAGTTTTCTATAACTGTCATGTTGAGAGGAGCTTCTAACTAGTTTTCTATGGCTTTTTTTTTTTTGAACTCTTTTCATGTTTATATTCTGGACACTATCTCTCAACTTTCTGGCGAGTTTGGGCATTGTTCTCTAAGATGATGGTAAGAAAGTTCACAATGCAAAGCTTCTTCTGTCAAAGACTTCTAGGAAACTGAGCAAATAAGAGAACATATCCCACAGAAAGCAGAAATCTATTAGTTTGTACCACTGCAACCTGGCCCAAGAGTGCTAATTAGAATTGGTTAAAGCAAAGAGGAATCAACTATGGAACTTCAAGTAGTAGTTTTCTTTTCTTTTTTTTTTTTGGGTTAAAGTAGTTAAATGTATACCATTTGTACCTCTAACCTCAAGTGCTCTCTTTCTGGAATTAGTACGATATAATCTTTTATGCCACGGTAAGCCTGAATCTTATTGCTTATTGTACCATAGTTACCAAAGAGATATTAAAGAGGTAGCCGAAGCCTAAATTCAACAATGCTTGGACAGGTCAAGAAGCTTTTTTCGTTCTGATGCTTTATACCAAGCATAATCATCTAATGGCAGACTTAAATGTTCATAAACTAAAGAAGCATCGATATTGAATGAGCTATATTCGAAGAGTCCAAGAACCTAAAGTCCTTGCACCCTTGGTCAATCATCTCCTTGCTGTTGCAGTTATGACTTGCTGGTTATCTCTATAAGGGGGTTTTTCACTTTCTTTTGAGGGGCTGAGAACTCAATAAGTTGTTAGTGAATGCCTATGCTGCTAGTATTTGTAGATGACACCATTTACCCAAGCTGAAGTTCTACATATGGAATCTATGTACATCATATCCAACAGTGAGAATGCTAAAATTAATGGCCTTCATGAAATGGGACGTAGAATCTGGCCCTGGACCTCTGTGCATTAACGTTTAAGTATGGGTTAAGCTGAGTAGAGCTCATTTCTGTGCGTATTCTTGGTTTGTTCTAAGCTGAAGTCCTCATTTCCCAGGATTCAAGACAATACCAGTTTATTGCTTTGCATAATCCTAATCTTAGCTACACACATACTTTGGTCATACTTCAAAGATGCTGTTCATTATCATTTCTTGACCCTTCATTTCTTTTGTGATTGCATCTCAGTGCTTGGCTCAGATGTGATCTATAGCGAGGAAGCTGTGATGGATTTGTTGGCGACTCTATTGGATCTTTGTGGAACCCATACAACTGTTATTTTCGCTGGAGAACTTCGAAACGGTACATATAGTTTACATTTTCGATGAACTTTTACATGTGGAATTGGCATAAATTCATGTATTCTTTAGCAGATGCCATCCTTGAGTATTTCTTGGAAGCCGCATTGAAGGATTTCATCGTTGGTTGTATTAATCAAGAACAGTGGCATCCAGATTATCGTAGCCAACGTGTCGTCATATACATTATGGTGAAGAAGTAGAAGCGAAAAAAAAGATCACTTATTTAGTTCAGGGAACCCCATGTTTTGTAGTTCAACCGTATCAGCTTTACTGCCGTGTGGCATGCGCAAGTGTGGTTCACCTAAGGTAGTGTTCGTTTGCAATGAAATGTGTGAGAAAGTGTGAGAAAGTTGTTTTTCCCCCCCCTTTCTATGTGTTTGTTTGACAGGAAAGTCAGCAAATTTCCCTGCACTTTTCCTCCTTTTTTTGTTTTTTGTTTTTTGTTTTTGTTTAAAACCTCCACCCCTTCCTACCCTTAATTGCCAGACTCGGGATTTGAACTTTAAATCAAGCAGTAGGAAGAACTCTAAGAGCTGTCTTCTAGGTACTAGGCCAACTCCAAAAGTTCCTGTTACTTTCTTGCATTTGTGTCCTACAAAATCTTCGTTTGAATAGAAGGAAAATTGTACTTTTTTTTGTTTGTGGGGGTTGGGGGGGGGGAGGGGGGGAGGGATGGAAGGGAGGGGATGGGTTGGATGGTACCGGAGTGGAGGTGTAAATGAGAGATTCTGACTCTTGAGACTTTCCACTTACCAAAGGAAAAAAAGTTGTATGGGAAAGTGAAGTGAAAGAAAGTGTGGTAAAGAAAAATGCCAATGAGAATATGAAAGTTATTGGCAGTTAATAGAAGTTATTGAAACCTTTGTGAGTAATCAACTATTTTCATTCAAAGTCTTCCAAATTTTGCAGGACACGTAATGCAGGAAAAAAATGGATAGTCACATTTTTCTCAACAAGCAAACACTGTCTATGGGATTTTGGGAAAATTTGGTCAATTACTCACAATATTTTTAGTAAATGTCTCTGACTATCCATTTTTTCTCAAGATTTTTCTTATCAAACAAACATACATTGCAAAGTAATTCTCTCTTTCCTCACTTCACTTTTGAATACGAGTTTCCCTAGGATGAGAGAAATCCGCAATCTCACAAGAACGCCCCAGTTTATAAGAAAATAGGTTTGAATGAAATTTGGATAGGATTTGGGTAGGTCAAGTCGCAATTTGGGTGAATACAAAGTTGATATGACATTCAATCCACTCAACAGCACTCTCAAAGTGAATCAAGATTTGAAAGACAAGAGTCTTCACTCTCGCTTGTAGAGAATCTCAAAGATTGAATGTCAAAATCACTCAACTGAATAACCATATTCCATATAACGTTATTTAAACTCTAAGGATCGGGTTCTAATAACCAAACAAATTTGACTCAATAATTGACCCATCAATCTCAAAAGCTTAACACATATTGATCTTTTTTAATTGAATAAACAAAAGAACTAAATAAACAATTTAGTTTAAAGCTAAATAATAATTAATTAAAACGGATAAAATAGAAATTTTTTTAAAAATCATTATATGAATTTGGAAATCTGCGGACTAGCAAACAGCTACTCTGACATACCTACGTCTTATATGAGGAAAGTCTCTAGTCACAATTTTTTTGTGTTCAGTCACAGGACGTGTCCACATCTTACAGTGCAAAGTCTTCTACCTGCCCTTTTTGAACAATCTCTTCAACTAATTTTGCTTGCTCTGCATCTATAGTCAACCTTCTCCTAATCTTTATTCAGTTGAGGTTGCGATCCCAACCTTCGAAGATCTTTTTGTTGATGCTCTATTCTCGGAGTTTGAATCAAAGAAAGAAATCTCTTTTTTGGTCGATATAAGGATAAAGATAAGAACTTCTTGCTAAACCCGAACTCTAGGCTTTTTAGGCTGAAGGGAGAGACAAATGGACCTTATATCCTATTTCAGTTGAAGACAAAGACCTTATTCCCTAGAGCAAGGCATCCAAGTAACATTGGAACGGTTCGAGAAAATTATGACAGAACACAAAAAATTGTGAATGGTGTAAGGAGAATGAAACGAATACGAAACGAGCGAAATTAGTTGAAGAGTTTGTCCAAGGAAGAGGCAAAAGACTTCACATTGTAAGCGGCGGGCATGTCCTGTTCCTGTAAAAAAAATGTTGACCGAAAGACTTGTATTAGATAAGATATGGGCACGTCAGAATAGCTGTTTGCCGGTCCACAGATTTGTATTGTGATTTTTAGCATTTTTTTCTATTTTATTCGTTTTAATTAATTATTGCTTGGCTTTAAAGTAAGTTGTTTATTTAGTTAATAAAAAAAGTCCAATATGCATTAAGCCTTTGAACTTAATGGGCCAATTATTGAGTCAAGTTTGTTTGGCTATTAGGATCCGATCTATAGAATTTAATTTAGAAAGTTGTCTCGTTTAAATAACGTTGTATGAAATGTAGTTATTCAATTGAGTGATTTTATGACATTGAACCTTTGAAACTTTCTACAGGTCAGAGTGAAGACTCTTGTCTTTCAAATCTTGATTCATTTTGAGCGTGTTCTTGAGGGAATTAAGTGTCGTATCAATTTGGTATCCACCCAAGTTGTGGCCAATCTACTTGAATTCCATCCAAATTTCGTCCAAACCTGTCCCCTTACGAATTGGAGTTTTCTTGTGGGATTACATATTTCTCTCATCTTAGGGGAATTCGTATCACTTTCCCACGTAACTTTCCCTTTAATCAAACAAAGCCAAGAGAATTGAGCAGGTTAAGAAATGTGTGGGCATAGCCTTCTCTCCTAACACCCCCTCTCCCCTTCGAACCAAAAAGAAAAAAGAAAAATCATAATGACAAGTGTTGATTTTCAATTTTCAACATTGTAGATTGTGACATGATAATTTGATTGCTTGGAACTAGGCCTGTCAATCAATCCATCTGAGCCGGATTTTAACAAGTCCAAATTTGGCTCATCTAATTAGTAACACTTTCAGGTTTCGAGTTAATAAATATGAAACTCATATTTGGCTCATAAAAAATTCAACCTTGGAGCCTAATTTGGGATTAATTCAAAATCACTTATTACTCCTTAATTTCTTTAATATAGTTACTATAACTGTTAATTCATAAAGCTAATTTAACATCCACAATATTAAAACTATACATGAACCAATAACAGTCAATTACAAATTATATAAATCAATAATTTTTCAACAATAATTATATCTAATTCATTCAAAATAAATGAAAAATAGTAATAAAATATGATCAACGGTCAATATATTTTCAGAAGTTGGAATTTCCCCATAGCCTTCTCAATTTGCTCCTACTAAGATTTGTCCACCCCCTTTATTCACAGTGACCAATTTTGAACAAAAATACAACATTTGAATCCAAATAGAAGTAAACAAATTTATTTGTCTCATGAGTCATATAAGAACCTACATGAAAGAAGAAAATAGACCAAGAAATGATGGTGGTCAATTCAAGTAGAGACTAAGTTGGTAGAGTGTACAGAATGCATGCTTTGCAATTGAAACTAACATATATGTTTAGTCAAAATACAAGCAGCCATTACACCAACAGTGGCACATAAAAAGCAACCAATATCATACCAGCACAAAAATCTATACCTATATAAATCTGAGAAGAGATTTTTAGTAACAAGTTTCCACACACCTTTCCACTCTCAATTCCATTTTTCTAGCATTTTATATTTAATTTATTTCGTAAAATACATCATGTCCACGTTTTCATCAAATAAGAATACCACTCCAACTAACACTTCTCCCCTCACACACTTTCTCACTCCAATTAATACTCTTCCAATTAACAATTCCATTCCAATTAAAAACTCCTCCAACCCAATAATAAGAGATAACAACATAATTTCACCAAAAACTGCAGTTTACCATCTCTTTCAACTTCCTTCTAGAGTGAATAAAGAACATGGAGAGGGAATGAGTCAAATGTGAGATTGCTATTTGGGTTTGTATTCCATTTCTTGGGCTCTGATTTAAATAAATAATTAAGATAACAACCTTACAAAGAAAACGAGGAATAGGGAATACAATTTGCCTAACCTGGGAAATAGGGTAAAACACATAATACTATAAAAATCTATATCTATATGTATTGTAGAGATGGTTTTTTGGATGATTAAATCAGAATGCTTATAACTCCTCATTATTTTTTTTATAGAATTTTAAATTTTTTTAATTTTTATATATTTTTTCATGTCTTTTGAATTTAAAAAGTAAGAAGTGGCTCACTTATATAGAAATTTGATTTGAAATCTATTAATGTGAGGGTAAATAAAGAGGAAAACCACCAACCTTACTAAAAGTAAAAGAGTAAATAACAATATTTTACTCTTCAACTCAGTAATCCTAACTAAAAGGGCAAATTATATAGAAACAAAAAGAAAATAATATTCACTGGTCATGGATTTAAAATATCAATATTAGTACCATTTGTGAATCCTAAATTATGAAATTACTAAATAGAAAACAAAGTACTACTAGCCTAAAAAACAAATTATGAATTTATAGGGTTTGAGAGAATGCTGAGGGGAAAAGAATAGAAAATTGGGTGGCAAAAATAGAAAGTTAAAGGTTAGCTATAAACAAAAGAAAGAGAATAGCAAGAAGTTAAAGAGTGGTAGGAAAAGTCAAAAAATAAAGGTAAATTACTACAAGATTGGGCGAAGAGAGGAGAGAAGAAAGAATGGAATTGTAGGGATATGACAGGAAAGATGACACCGTGTTAAGCGGTCTAAAAGTCATAGAAGGCAGTGGATAGCTAATTAGCAGGTAAGAGATGATAGAAAATGTGATATTTATTAATAAATTTGAAAATTTTGAAACACATCTTACAAAGATTATTTTAAATATATATTAAAATTTATGAAGAACATTATTCTATAAGCACTCAACAATTTTAGGATTACAAAATGTGAGAAAATTTTCTAAAATTGAGGAAAATGAATTAGTTATACTTTATATTTTTTAATGTTAAAAATTTTGATATATGGGTATAACATGATATATTGATAAATAAGTTTACAATTGCTCTATCATATAAATGTTATAAATTAAATTATTTTATTAAAATTGTTATCATATATTGACAAATAATAGGTTAACAAAATTTGGTTTCAACTTATTTAAATATTAAAATTAAGAA